TCACCCAGAAGGCAAAAACTAGTTGCATCCAATGCCATTCTGAGCATGTCTTTCCCAGGTTCCAGAACCTACATCAGCTCTCCAATGAGTTGCATCTTCTTTGCATAGAAATAACTCTGCATACAGGACTTCATTACATTTTTGATGACTGACTGATTCATTAAAATTCAAACTCTGGCATGAATCAGCCTGTGGGCTCAACAGCTCACCACACCACTCTCATTTTTCCACATTCTTCATTAAGACCACCCTTGGTTGACCATTCCCATCTTCAAACCAACACACCTGCTACAACTTGAATGTATTCCCCAAATGTTCATGTTAATTCCCAAATTCATATGTCAGTAGTATTTACAGGAGGGCCTTTGGGAGGTAATTAGGACTAGATAAAGTCACGAGGATGGGGTCCTCACAATGACATCTGTGGCTTAGAAGAGGAAAAAATGGTCTGAGCTAGTGGCTTACTCTGTCTTGCTTGTGATACCTCTGCCATGTATGATACAGCAGGAAACCTTCACTAGATGCTGAGTTATTGCCAATGCCAAGCTCTTGGACTTCCAGCTTCCAGAACTGTGAGCCAAACAGACCTCTATTCTTTACAAATTACCTGATTTTAGGTATTTTATTACAGCAATAGAAGAACAGATTGGAACAGTTATCCATTTCCGTCTTCATGCCAACACACCCAAATCACTTTCATCAAGAGGTATTTGGTTCCCATTCAAAATTCAATTCTCCATAGCAAGTAGATTAATGGTTGACTAGGGCTGGTGGGATATGGGTTGGGAGGGATTGAGGATGCTAGCTAAAGGGTACAGCTTAGTTTGTAAAGTGAGGAAATGTTTTAAAACTGCAGATGTTTATGAGAATACTAAAGACCATTGAATTAAATTATGTTTTTTTTTTTTCACCCTGGGAATTGAACCCAGGATCTCATGCATTTTCTACCATACACTACCACTGAGCTAGACTCCCAGCTCCAAATTCAACACTTTAAATAGGTGAATTCTATGGCATGTAAATTAAAACTCAATAAAGCTATTTTTAAAAACTCAGCTCTGTACTCATCTCCTCCAGGAAATTTTCTCAGAAAATTCCACTTCAAACAGTAGAGAAAAGGGAATTATTCACTCACTCATTACCAATTTAGTCATCAACAAACATCTATGGATCCCCATGGAAGGACAGGGACAGTGAGAGGCAGTGAAGACATAAAGATAAACAAGATCAGACTTGGAGTGTTCGAGTGTCATACTTCTGGTCCTTATATCCCCTAACCATACAAATTTTACCCTATTCTCCACTTATTTCTCCCCAGGGTTTAAGGAGAAGAAGGGGATCTCCTGGTACTCTTCTTCGTATTTAAAGCTCAGTGCAGTTAAAATTCATAACCTATGGCCCTCCCAGCCCCTTACCTTCTCCCTCATCAGACCAAATTCTGTGTCAAGCCTCAAAGACATTTTTCTCTATTGAAGAAAGGTAGATTTGGGGTGGGGAATGTGACGAGGTATGCTAATCCTCCTTAATCAAAGCCAGAGCAGAACCATTTTCTAATCTTATTTCCAAGTCACGTAACATGCAAGGAGACTCAAGTGCTGCTCTGGGACATGTGAGTACTAACCTCATACTGTTAGGCACGCATCTACTCCCTGTGAGAGACTCACAGAATAATGACAAGCTTTCACCCTTGACTGGCAAGAGGAAGTTTACAAAACATTTTCCCCTGTGTTACCCTTGTGACCTCCCATTAGCCCACAGATATTCCCTTCCAAAGATGAAGGTAAACTTGCCAAGGTAAACTGATGTATCCAAGGTTCTACAGTGAATCGAAGACATAATTAGGTGTGAACTCAAGTCTTCTGACTTTAAGCTTGATGCTCTCTGCCCTCCATGGGCTCTAAATGCCAAAACCTTCTCAGGCAATCTTGGTGACAACTACAGGTACCTGTTCACTTGATGGCTCACTTCTTTCCAAGAAGCCTTCTATCTCCACAGGCAAAAACTAATGGGGTTTTATTTTAGACACAATCCAGACAGATTCCAACAGAGGCAGGATAGCAGTGGTGAAGAGTAGAGATCTGAATTACACAAATTTAGGTTTGAATCCAGAGCCAGCTGTTTTCTACATACACAGCCTGCCCTCTGTATCTGAGAGTTCTGCATCTGTGGATTCAACCAACTGTGGAGAGAAAATATTCAGATTTGGAAAAAAAAAAAATCACCTAGCCAGGCCCCATGGTGCACCCTTGCAATCCCAGCAACTTGGGAGGCCAAGACAGGAGGATCACAAGATCAAGGCCAGCTTGGGCAACTGAGCAAGACCCCGTCTCAAAATAAAAAATAAAAAGCACTAGGGATGTAACTTAGTGGTAGAGTGTCCCTAAGTTCAATTCCCAAGAACATACATACACACAAAAAATTGCATCAATACTGAACATGTACAGACTTTTTTCTTATCATTATTTTCCAGATAACTCAGTACAGCAACTATTTAGGTAGCATTTGCATTTTTTAAGTGATAAGGTAATCTAGAGATGATTTACAGTATGAAGGAGGATGTGCATAGGTTATATGCAAATGCTATGCCATTTTATACAAGGGACTTAGTATCCTCAGGAAGTTGCACAATGAACTCCCTGTGGATACTAAGGGATAACTACAAACATACATTCATCTAATCCAACAAGCCACTACTTAAAAGGCTTTCTTCAACTTTCATAGGAGGCAAAAATCCTTCCTGATTTTTAAGGGTATGATTCCCACTCCAACAAAACTGAAGATTCCACCACACCCTTAAAAAACACTCAAAACCAGGAACACCTTCCTTAAATCTAATTAGATCCATCCCCACACCCATGCCAACCAGCAAGGCAAGACTCTTTTCTCCATATTTTGTCCTCAGTACACATAGCAGAATCTTAAGATCAAAACATGGTCTCTTTTAGAGACTCTCAGCAAACTGCAACAAACTCTCAGTTCAAGATTCCCTCCTGCCAAACTCACCCCATTTCTCTCTATTCTCCGGTAAGGGTAGCAGAATGACATCCCAGAACAGAAAGACTTACCCCCAGATTCCACAGAAAGACCCAGAACAAAACTTTGCACTTGCGTCAGCTGGGAAAACCACGTTCAGTCATTGAAACAGAAAATAGAAACTCTGGAAGGCTTAGAATGCTCATGTTCTGCCTAACCTGACCCCACTCTTCAGCACCCAGCTCAGACACATGACTCACCTGTTCCTTCTGCCTTTCCCCATATGGTTCCCGTTAGCCCATCTTTTGCCCCTCTCCTCATACTTTCCTGTTATTTCCTTCTACCTATCTGTGTTTGTCACGATTTGAGTCTCTTCCTCCCAAAAGTCTTCCTCTACTTCTCCAGGGTTCTCTTTTCTTGTGTAATCAGTACCACATGGCATAGGATGTGTCTACCAGGGACTCCACCTTTTCTAAAGAGTGAAACTCACATGCCTTAATTTGATATGAGTGTTCTCCTATCCTTCTTCTCAACTTCCACATCCCTCACTCTACCCAACCCAACACACACACTCTCCTCAACATCACTACAATCGGCTGACGTCACACTGCGCTTATAAGAACACTCAGTTAAATACTTGTTGAATTAAACTGAATGAGCCAGTTGCAGTGGTGCATGTCCTGTAATCCCAGCAGCAGGGGAGGTTGAGGAAGGAAGATGGCAAGTTCAAAACCAGCCTCAGTAACTTAGTAAGGCCCTAAGCAACTTAGCAAGACCCTGTTTCAAAAAAAAAAAAAAAAAAAATTAATTAATTAAAAGGGCTGGGAATGTGGCTCAATGGTTAAGCTTCCCTGTGTTCAATCCCCATCACCCCCCGCCCCCCATAAAATACAATACAATGAATGAAAGTGAACAGATGGGGTAAAGGAATCCCTGGAAAAGTGGTCAATGATTCAGTTACTTCACACAAAAGCACAAATCTCTGTTAGGAGTCAGGGCCCTAGAGTCCAAAAGTAAATGAATAGGGTAGATGGTATCAATGAACTACAGAGGACTCCCCGCCCCCACAGGAAATGGACTTGGTTCAAACACAGCTTCCTGAAGCAGTTCTTGCCACCAAGGCCAAGTGGAGTTGGTTTCATACCAATTTTCCTTCTGTGGAAAACGAACTCGGCCCCCCACCACTGCCCCTCTCAGATATCACTTTTACCCAGCAAAAAAGTAGCTGGCACAAGCCACAGTGATATGGAAATGTGACTCTGATGTGGTAGAAAATGTGACTCACTCAACATTAATACTCCACCTGTACACATGTGGGTTGGTTTAAGGCAACCTAGTGTAGCCGCATGGAAAATAAAAACTGAAACGGAGTTCAGCAATGGACGTGGACGAGCCTCTCTGTAACTATCTCCATCTGTAGAATAGGAATCAGAATAGTGCCGCCAGAGTTTCTGTAAGGATACTTCCTTTCACTCTACTGATTTTCCCCCCTTTTCTTTTTTTTCTGGTACCAGGGATTGAACCCAGGGGTACTTAACACATCCCCAACCCTTATATATTTTTTATTTTGAGACACAGCCTCGCTAAATTGCTGAGGCTGGTTTTAAATTTGCGATCCTCCTGCCTCAGCCTCGCGACAGATGGGATTACCGGCGTGAGCCACTGTGCCAGGCCTGTAAGGATAAAATTTGGAGACACATGGTGAGGTGCCCTCACATAATAAGAGCTCAATAAATACTAGCTGCTGCTTTTTTTATTATTTATTTTGCTTTGAAGATCAAAGGAGATGGAATGTAGCAGGAAACCTCCTGCCAACGTGTCATATAATATGAAGCCCCTGGCTGGGGAAATGGGTGCCGAGTGTGGAAAGTATAATAAGTTCAGTATCCCTGATCCCCGGCGCTGAGCCTTAAGCCTACTCTGGTGACAGGCTCCTGCTTTCGTCCTGGAAGTTTCCACCAGGATGCCCTGGGGCCCTGGACGGCTCTGGGGAGGGGCGGGAAGGCAGGGGCGGAACAGGGACATACCTGCTTTCACTGCACTCCTTCCGCTCCCTCACCCTCAGCCACTTGCGGAGAAGGAAGCGCTTTCGGCGCGGGGAAGCGCTGGGTGTGGAGCAGTTGGACCACGGGGTGTCCTCGTCGCTGGAGGGCGTAATCTCGATGGACGGCAGCTGCAGGAACTCCTTACCAGGAGCCAAGACAACAGGCAGGTCCTGCGCTAACCCGGCCTCCAGGCTCTGCTCCTGCACGTTCTTCATCCGGCGCATCTTGAAGCGCCGGCGGCGGAGCGTGGGGGTAGACGAGCTGGACCAGACCGGGCTGCTCTCCTGCGCGCCCTGCGGCTCGGGCACCTGCAGGGCGGGCAACTGCAGGTTCTCCATCATGTTGGCCGCCGGCATCGGGGTCTGTCGCCTCCGCGCTCCCTCCACGCCCTCGGCCAGCAGCCTCGCTCGCGTCTCCTGCTCGCTGCTCCCCACCCCGGCCCCTCGACACACGGTACCCTCTCACGTTAGGAAACGCTCGCGTCTCTAGCTGCTAGAAGAGCAAGTTCCTTTTCCTGGAGCGCGGCGAGGAAGGGACGCGAAGCGACGCGGCGTGCGGCCGCCCGTAGTCTTGAACTTTTCGGAGCGCGCTTCCTCCCCGCCGTCAGCCGCCGCCGGCGGGGCGACCCGGGCGCGCCTGCTAGCCACCTGGCCGCCCTCCTGGGGCTCCCCTCGCGCGCGCTTGTTTGTCTTCCACTGCGATCTCTCGCTTGCTTGCGTCTTTGCCTTAGCGAGACTCGGCAGCCCGGGGCCCCAGGGGGCGGCGCAGCAAACTCTCAGCGGTTTGCGTTCAGCAGACCAGGTTGGGGAACCGGCTTGACGCTGCAGGGAAGTAGAGAGCTGGAGGAAGAGGCAGTGGTAGGAGGGGAGGGAAGAAGAGAGAGAGAGGAAGCGAGACACTGGATAAAAACAAAAAAGGAGGCGGAGGAGCAGGGGGCTGGGGCGGCGGGGGGTGGGGGGCTATCCAGAAAGGGTAGGCTGAAGCAGCGACAGCAGTGTAACTGTACACGGAATCCCTTGGGGAGGGATCTACCTCCCAGTAAAGGCTGCTCCAATCAGCCCAATGAAATAGGAGCACGAACCAAACTTTCTCAGAGCAATGATTGGCTGGGCAGTTCTCATTAGCAAACTCCTTGCATTTTTCTGGGGGAGGGGGCCCGAAGCGGAGGGTGAATCAATCCCCACTCTCTCGGCCACCCAAGGTACCCGGTTGAGGGAAACCTGGGGGCTTTTCAACTAAATCTCTGCTCCTAAGAAAGGTGCTTGCTTTGAGTTATTTGGGGTGCAGATGGGGACAAGGGAAGACTTTACATAGTTATTGGGAGAAAGCAAGATTCTTGGAGGCTGCTTCCAAAATGATGAGCTGAGAAGAAACGACAGTTCTGTGGCACGAGCTGAGGACACCAAACATGACATACCAAGGAAAGACAGACAATAGGACACACGGGACCAGTAAGGAGAAAAGACTGAACCCTGTATAATCTTCAAATACCATGGCCCCATCCCACGGAAACAATGAAACAGAGAAGGGCAAACAAGACAAGGCAGTGCATCAACAGAGTCCCAGGAGTCAGGTGCACCCCTTTCCATTCCTAGCACTGTTTACATTCTGCTTCAGCCTGCCAGTGTCATGGACTGGGTCACAAAGTCTGGTATGTCCGCAGATCACAGAACCTAGAAGAGATCAGAGTTCTAGTGGTGTCCAAAGATGTGTTGAACCGGCCCTCCCCAGACCTAGGTATCAACCTAAGAGATGGGACTTGGAAGGGATCCACCCTGTGGGGGGTTCCTCTGCTGGACAGAATCCAATCAGCCTAGCTGCTATCATAGAACCCTCCCTTTTCTTCCCAGCAGGACAGTTGCCACTTAAGTACAAATAGACTAGGAGGGACCCCCAAAGACTGCACAGAGTCCACAACTGGATCCAGCCTCTTCTCTGCCTTCTCTGCGGGTCCAGTTTCCATTTGAGAGTCAATGCCCAGATTCTGGGCCAGGATAAAGGTTACATTTCATAAGTGTCCCAAAGCTGAGGAGAAATTACATATCCAGAATTTACTGCAACAACAACAAAAACTATATCCCTGCAGGTCAGCAAAACATCAAGGGTGACACAGACAGCTGGCCATGGGTCCATCACGCCTTGCAGTGACACATGGGGCAGCTCAAAGCATCCTGACATGGCATAACCTCTGAAAGGCTGTGAAACCCAAGGAAGTGCGTCTTACTCAAGGAGAGACTACAGCTGAAAAGCCAAGGCCAGGCCCCCCCAAAAATTACTTCCCCCGGAACATGGGCTTCTGTTTCTGACTCTTCACATCCGGGCACTGGCTCTCTGAGGGATGATTTGGTCTCACTCTATTTTAACTCCTGGACATGGCATGGAAAGGAGAAACCCCTTCCCATCAGGTGTCAGGACTGGCAAGGTGTAGGCACCTCTCCTGCTGCCAAGACACTGAGGAAGCTGTACTGTCACTCCAAACTTCAAGATCAGGAGCTAGGCCAAGGCTCCACACAGTTCATCACTGCCTTGGGTTTCCTCCAAGGAGGAGCACTTTGCAGAGGATCTGACAACTTCCCAATTTCAGGACGCTGCCTGTTAGATGGATTGTTGAAATAAGAGACCAAGGTTGCTGGTATGTAAGGGAACAAAAAGTCAGGACACCACCATTCATTTGAAAACCAAAAGTAAATAAATAGCCCCCACCACACACACACATACACACACACACACACACACAATTCCACTGGTATTTTGGAGAGAAGGAGAGTCAATAAAGGGTGTAGTCCCCTTTATGCTCGTCAGGTGCGCTCTGAATTTAAACATATGCCTCTCAAAAGGAAGAAGAGCCACCAGTTCCCTCTTCCCACACACTTCAGCCAAGTGTCCTACAATAGATTCTGGACCCCAAATCCTGTGAGATTTAATTTAAGCTTTGGGCACAATACTAGTTGAGAATGAGCACCTGGCCTGAGGCAAAACCTCCTCCAAACCAAATCTGAGAAGGTCTCACTTGGTTTGGAAGCAGACACCCAGAGTACCTCTTTTCCCTAACACCATCTTTAGTAACTCAGGTACCGCAGCCTGCTCCAGGGCATCCAGCACTGGAAAACATAAAAATAAACCCTAACACTGTCCTTGCTCACTTCCATCTGCAGTCCCTTCTTCCTTTCAAGCCATAACCTTATTAATCCATTAAAACACTAATCAAAACACACCCTAATAAGGTAATAATAGGTCACTGCTTTGAAACATGCAATGCTCTTCAACTATGAGCCATTGTCACTTGAAAACTGGAAGCATATTGAGGACAAACAAATTTCTCCTTCCACTGAGTCTCTATAGAATCCTGTGCTCTTATTTGTATGTAACTTTTATGTTTTTTAGAAGGACTCTCATATGTCACATTGCCTCTTTCCAGGGGCCCTAGCTGTGAGGAAGAACAGGACTTATTCCTCTCATTTTACGCTTGATAAAAGTGAGACAGAGAGTTGCAGTAATTTATCCAAAGTCAACAATAAATGACAATGACTCATCGATGACAAGGCCAGAACTTGAACCTGGGCCTTCTGAAGTCAGTTTAGAGGCCACCAAAATCACATCAAATGCATTAGCTCCGGAAAGCAGTATGAGTAACACCAGAATTTTACTAACTCTGGCTTCAGTTGGGTACATTATGAAATTACATGGCGCTGTTTAATTCCAACAGTAGTTTTACATGCAGGAAAGTGGAAGCACGATGCTTAGAAAAACAATTGCCCAGTGCAGCTGGTATCAGGGTGCTAGGACCAAAGAGTTTCCAGGACCCTCTTTTAGAACCTTAGCCACTGCATTCACTCACCAAGCTCCCTCTAACCCCCACCCTCCGTTTTTCCTCTCTCCCGTTTTGGTTCTCAGTGACTCCAAGGTTCTCTGGGAAACTGACCTCACCTTTCCACCTGCCTCCGCCCCCCAGACAGGTGGTGGCCAGACCAACTCAGGCCCCATCCCCCAACACACAGCTAGCCTTCTGACTTAAATGAAAGAAGCTCAGATTACCAAGCAACTGTTGTTTATTCTCAGCTGCACAAGCTCCCTTTTCCAGGATACCCAACACCTGTCTATTACTCCTGGAGACCCACAGAGAACATAGTCCATTATTCAGTAGAAACCTTCAGCAGATAATTTAATTGAAAAATAGCAACTTAAAGGATAGTTTTCTCTGGGGTGTGAGGTGGAAGATGTAGGCCCCACTAACCTATCGTCCTACCTGTCCCAGGATGCCAAGGGCAGGAAACTCCCAAGAATACAAGGGTGTCCCCTTCAACACTGTTACTGCAAGACAAAGAGTTCCCATCTCAAGCCTGGACACAGAGTTTGCCCTGAACAGTATTCAGAATGGCCAACCCTAGTCATTAGTCTTGGTTCCAAGGAAAGTAGCAGGCATTGGACACAAGTGAGACTTGTTGCTCACAGGGAAGGTGGAAATATGGAGGATATTAGAACAAGGGGCAATCTCTAGCTTTGTCTATTGCTAAACAATAGAAATGAGTTGGCATAGAGTTGGCTACCTCAGGAAAGCAGTTCAGGTCAGGTCAAAGTTTATCATTTTATTTAGATTGTGTTTAGCAATCTAAATAAAATGATAAACTTTTACCAAGGGTAAGGCCAGTTAAGGACTAGAATGCCTTACCAAACCCAGTTAGAGTGGCTTTCTCTTTAAAGGTAACTGGAGCCTCCTTAGAAGCAGGGGAAGGAAAGGGATTATCTCTTAAAGGCCCATCCTTACCTTACCGTTTTGGGTCTCTAAGATCCAGACTCTTATTAAAGTGAAAGCAATTTGCTTCTGCCTAAAACAAAGTCTGTCTGAAGGGACCACCACTGGCTTCAGGCATTTTGATCACACATGCTAAACACCTCTCAGAAACCCGCAAATGGCTTTAATATCTTGCACAGTGAGCTAGAAATACAGTGATCAAACGCACTAGTGAAGCAAGGGACTAGGGTGGAGGATATGGGGACAGGAGAAGGAATTGGAGAGAATAATTTAAACTCCACCCATGGCCTCTCCTCTCCCTTTCACTAATCCCCAGCAGAAAGCAGCTAGCTACTTAAGAAGGGTCAGAGGAAACTGCACTGGATTCATGTGGTTAGAGAAGAAGGGTAGAGTATAGGAGGCTGACACTGGCTAAACACAATCTAAATAAAATCATGGTTGACCATGCCATCATGTCCTGCTTCTCTTTTCTGAAGAAAAAGGAGAAATAAACTTCAAAACCTTGATGGAGAGTTAGTTCCCCAGAATACAGCCTGGGGGAAGGGGGGCTGTCAGCCTTGGGGAATGCCCAAGGTCAGCAGAGGTTGCTTCCATTAGCCTTCACTGGAGCCAGGGTGAGCAATGACGTCACCTCAGGAGAAGGACTGCCACCCGATAAGCCCTCCTGGTTTCATAGCTCATTAAAAGTCCTAGGAGTCAGAGGTTGTTTTGCACAACAACATTTGGCTACCTTTGTTTTTGATACCAGAATACCAAGGCACAAACAGATATTATCTCTTGTCCTCTAGATCTTGCCAGGACAATTTTTGTGCAAACCAAGGCTGGAAAAGACTTCCCTGCAGTCACCCCATCCACCCTTG